TGTTAAGGTTCTTTGCGAAATAGTATTGTTTGCTGATGACACATCCTTGATTTTTAAAACAGACAGACGTGACGTTAACTATGACAATATTAAAGATACCCTCTCAAAGGTAGTTATTGGTTTAATGCTAACAATTTATTGCTCAATGTCAAGAAGATGAAGTGTGTTAAATTTGAATTACCTAATGTAAAACCTACTAGTCCAATGATAGAAATAAATGGAGAAAAGTTAGACCTTGTCAATAAAGCTGTCTTTTTGGGAGTGACCTTAGATAGTAAACTTCAATGGTTTACATATATATTTTCCTTAACCAGCAGATTAAGCTCTGCTGCATACGCAGTTCGTTGAATACGTGAGCTTACCGATGTTGCTACTACTAGACTAGTTTACTTTAGTTACTTCCATAGTATAATGTCCTCCGAGTTTCTCAAATAAGGTAAAGCGGCAGATATACAAACGATATTTGTGGTGCAAAAACGAGCTATTCGTGCTGTGTACCATTTGGGTTCTCGGGTTTCTCTCAGAGAAAAGTTTAAGGAGACTACTATCGTGACTGTGGCATCACAGCATATTTACTCTATATATTTATTAAAATATATTTTGTATGCCCGTAAAAATGTATATAATTTTATTGAGAAAGAAGATATCCATAATATTAACCTTAGAAGTAAATCCAAACTCATGGTACCACGATTTCGTTTAACTAAGGTTAAAGATTCTTTTATAGCGAACTGTATACGTTTTTACAATAAGATTCCGGAGCATATATTAAGATTATCATTTCCTAAGTTTAAAACTTACATTAAAAGTATTTTAATCGAAAACTCATGTTACAAAATTGAAGAGTATGTTAGATGAAGATGTATGGAAAGACAACATGAATCTAGATTCTACAGAATTATGATTCAAAATGTTATTCCAGAGCATTTCAGTTTATTTGAAAAGTGCAATCCCTAGAGTTTCTTGCTCGTTTTTCTCAGGTAAGTCAGCGTAGTGAACGAGCAGTACCTTAAAAAAATGACGTTTTCAGGTGTAAAAATTTTACTTATGGAGTAATTCGACTCATCCAAAGAACAGAGTCCGATGTGATTATACAACGAAAATAGGATAAATACATAATCTCCTACATACAAAATAAGGCCTAGCTATAGGTGTTTTCATAATTTAATGTATTATTTCGTTTCGGAAATATATAATCGATCAATGGTCGATCTGATATCTACAGCTAAAAACAGCGAACGAAATGTATTTTAATATCCTGAGAATAAGCAGTCTTGCACATAGGTCTTTGTTCTACTGATGAGTCGAAATGATTATTTGACTTTGACTTTTTCATAACATGTTTAAATAATTTATTACAATTTTTACTATTTATTTTCTACTTTTCAACTGGATATCATTTTGCAAAGTGGTAGTAGAGAGGTAATTTGTGAGTTTGAATTAAATCAAACGAACAATTAAATTCACCTTTACAAATAAATACTGAAAACGACTTTTACAGTAACATAAACCGATTCTACTTTTAACAAATAGGTTTCAATGGCTTCAAGACTTATGTTTCCTATTAATTCAATATTCGATCCTAAAATTCGTCTAAATAAATAATAAACCTACATAGGCACACAATGTAGATATTGATTTTTACTAACGGTTTTCCGTCAGACCTTTTTCAATATACATAGGTTCGGTTGTAAGTATTGTGAAATGTGTTACTTTTATAGAACAAAGGTACTTAAATGTTTATCTTTATTATACCTTATTCACATCTTCATGTAGCTGCTACAAAGTGAGACTAAGTTTCGAAAGTTTATCTGTACGAGAACAAATTTTCAGACATTCGTTTCCTATAATTTCCAGTTTTTACAGTGTAAATAGGTATATAAAATCCGTCTTCTTCTTATCGTATCTATGGTATATACCATAATGCTTGTTACTGTGGTGAAAGGATTTGCCAATTGTTGCCCAGGGTACGGCGTACAAGAAAGGAGTGGTACGTTTTGCTGGGAGGGTCTTACCGTGCTCCGTAAAATCCGTGGCTAGTAACAAGGGCTCCATGTGAAATAATAAAGATATACTTTTGTACCTCTTGTACCCACAATTTAAATCTCAGAGAGAACATTGAACACGTATGTATTTATCAAAAAGCTGGGAGTGTCTAAACATTTCTCTTATGATATAATATAATACAAACTCAAAGAGACACTTGGGAAACTTATATCCCTTGGGAGCGTTTACTCCTTAATTATTCGTGTAACTTGAAACCAAATTAGTTCGGGACGGGAGAAAGCAAAGTTTAGATTTGTTAGGAACACCACTTTCAAAGTGTGGTTAGAATGCGAAAGAAGTTGATTTGGCCCAAACCCTAGAAAATTTTGCAAGTACCCTACTGGAATTGTGGTTAGAGCGTTTGCTGAAACGTACGCGTAACATTCTTATATGTTACAATCTCATTCATTTTGTTCCTCAAGTACTACTTCGCAGTTGGAATTAAATAAAAACATATGAGTAATCCCGTATAGCGGTGGTGGCCCAGTGGGAGAGAGATTGCTTCTCTATTGAGAGGTCAACCGTTCAAATCTCTGTGTAACGTAACCATTACATTATATGAATACCTCTCGATAACGGCAAAATCAGCATGAAGAACGCTCACAACTTTTGGAAAACGTCCGAAGCCTCCCACCCGCATTGTACCAACGCAGCATGACGGAATATCGCCTAGAAAGCCTTAAAAGAGACCCGTGCGCGAAAGTGGTAGATTGCAATGACGAGTAGTTAGCGTGTTTCGCCAATTTTCCACAGTAACTTGACCTTGATGTAAAAAGTACAAGGTATAGTTAGATTATATCACAGGTAGAAAAACAAATAAACAATAAAAACTGCCCGAAACCACGCTTAGAAAAGGATATATAAATATATAATATAAATTAAAACTTATATAAATAAAAGTTAAAAAACATTATAAGTATCAGGTAGGTAGATATCATAATGTTACTTTGCAATGTAATAAAATATTGTCCCAAAGAAAGAATAACATCCACCTTAGCTCATTGTAATCTCAGTTTAGGGTTATCACAAGAAGGTACATTGTCTTCCAAATAACCACTTGGTTTCATAATAACTCATTCATAATAATAGGACAGGAATGTTTGACGGAAGAGTTGTGTATCTGAAATATTAACAAGCCTTACATGGGTGCAGTAATAATCTTTCACTCAAATATTTACCATTTTCTAGTCTTTAAAATCATGTTCAGTGTTGGGTCACAAAAAAATTTCTATTCGAAAATTTATTTTTAATTTCACCAGCACCCTCATTCTTCAAAACAAATAAGTAATAATAATAATCGTTTTTTTGTTAATTTATTTCTTCTTATTTTTCAGAAAAATAAATAATTTTCCTATACTTTTCCACGAAGATATTTCTTTTCTATGAAGATACTGAACGAAAGCGATGAAGTCATTACAAAGTTTTTATTTACCGATGATCTTTCTTTTGGCTGTTGTCCAATCATTTTAAGTCTCGTTTTACTTTAGCTATGTTTTTATTTTATAGTTCACGCTAAATATAACGCCGAAAGTTATATTTAAACATAGAACATAATATAAACCTTCCAATTGTATTTTTCCAATTTTTCGACATTTTTTCCGGAAAATTTATACTACCAATTTAAAATTATTCGGATAATTATCCAACAGTACCCATGTTCGAAAACAAAACATGATAGAGATTATAAAGATATCTCACGGTTCGCGTCAGACGTTATAATTTTACAATTTTAAACAATAACCGAAAAAACCAAGCCTAATACAATTAAAAATAACATACTAGAAATACAACATACTTTGGAATGTATACCGGTACCTATAACCAAAGCGCTCAATGAAATTCAAACAATGCAAATATCTTTTTATGCACCGAATAACATTCTCGTGATTACTATTTTCACCACTATAGCTACACCTCCTAAATATACACTCCTTGGCCAATTTGTATAAGCAAAACCTGTAAAGAAACTCATAAAAGTATTAGTGAGTGCTAACATCGTTAAAGATAATAAATAATATTAAGATAAGTCAATATAACAATGTACGAGCGTTTCCAAGTCAAATAGAATTACATAAGAGGATACTTATAGAATTTGAGGAATAAAAATTGCATCTGAAGGTTAATAAATCTGATGTAACTAACTGGTCGGTTGTGGAACGGTTTTCCAACATTTTCTCATGTGCGCGCTAACTATGGAGCAAGAATTTTGAAAGGTCTCCATAATAGGAATGGACCACTGTATGGAGGTTCATGATAGAATTCAATCCTTCTGATAGTAAACGCTTTGATCTTACCAACTCAGCCACACGTCACAATGTTCAAGTTATAGCGACTTATATAGTAACATCGGTTTATAAAGATTTCTTCGCGTACCGTCGCTACGATTCAACAATATTGACTTCTCTGCAAATTTAAGCATTCATCATCAAATTACATTTTGGAATAGATGACAAGGTATTTAAAAAGTCTCGCAACACCTAACATTCGCTAAATAGCTAAAACATTGCTTATCTTGTACCTAATATTACAAACTAACTAAATTGTTAAAATGGCGAAACATTGAAATTGAACCTTTTACTCGTTAACCGTTAAATGATTTATGAAGGTAGTTATGAATCTGGAAACAAAACCCGTCTTCCTTGTAAGAACGGGTCAAGTGGATGGGGTTGAACTAAAGAGGACATAAAGAAATTTAAGCAAATGTTTTCCTCATCGAAGCAATGCCGGCTTGGACCGGGAAGGAGCAACAAGTGCACCGGTGGCGACAGCACGTCGGCGAAATGAGAGGCCACCGTCGCCGCTACAACAACATCTCCAGCACGGTAAACAAAGCAACCACAACGCGAGTGGAATTCTCAAGACGGAGGTAACGATCGTGAAAACTGGGCCGGACATGTGTGCCGTGGCCGTGACCGAGTTACAATCACTTTTCAATTAATAAAGAACCCAAGCACCTGCAGAATGCAACTCCGATCCGACTATCACTAGAAGCGTTTACGATACGCACTCGTGTGATGCGGCTCCGAACTCACTGGAAGCTGCACTTGCAACACTGGCTAGTTAATGTGATATTTACGTACTTTCAGAGTTATAACACAGGGCATAGATACACAGGGCAGAACGAACCGGTCGGCAGTCGCGGTACAACGTAATACAACGTGTGTCTCTCGCGACGGACTCCGCGGCACTGGCGACACGGCTTCGGAACGGCACTACCGCTGACGAAGGCGATCGGTTGCCTGGCCACTCGCTTGGCTGCGGCGTACCACTTGCGAACGGACAATTCGCAACAACTCCGAATACCTACGTAACGTAACTTAACTCCATAATATTTTATAGTTTCGTAACGTGATTACTGTGCGCCGTTCGTGTCTAATCGATGTCACGATTTCGGGAGCGGTCCTTGGAGTTTTGAGCTTCGGATGACAAAAGTCGACGCGACATCAACAAAAGGAGACGACAACTGGCGGTTTATCAAGTTATGAATATTCATTTTGCGGTAATGAAAAGTCGTTCCACATTTCGCTCATCTCGATTATTTCGCGACGAAATTAAACGTTTTCGTTGGAAACAGGTTTTTGATTCCATCGTGGACGCCTCGATGAGTTTGTCGTCTGCATCAAAATGTAAAAAGAGGCTTTGACATCTTCTACAAAACTTTTGAATTATGAAATACGAAATTCTCGAATTCGGAATTTGAATACAATAATTTAATTAAGTAGGTTTATTAACCTATTCAGGTTTACTTTTCTTTTATTTCATTTTATTAGTGGCCACTGGTTTAATTATCTACGATTCACACGGTTTTCAGTAGCAGTAGAGCTCCTTATGAAAGAGATCATCCAAGGTAGTACTGCCACCTTACCTATTTCTACCGCCAAGCGGTAATGAGCGAATTACTGCATTCCGGGTTTGAAGAATGAGGGTGCTGATGAAATTACAGGCACATGGGACTTGTCAACTTATGTTTTTTTTTATAATATCAGGTGTCGTGTACCTGATGGTAAGCTACACGCCTGTCCTTATGGACAGGCGTGTAGACAACTGTTATCAGTTGCAGTGACACTCAGACCTTTAAAACGCAAAGATCAGAGGGGCACTGCCACTGAGCCCGTCACCCTGAGATATAAGTTGGCAAGTCCCATGTGCCTATAATTTCACCAGTCCAGTATCCCAGGATGACAGACACAGTGGCAGTGCTCCTCAAACTTTTGCGATTTAAAGCTCTGAGTAGCACTGCACTTTTTTGTCGCTTAGCACCAGGCGCACGACTTGTTCGTCCCGTTACTAGGTATTATAAAAAAAAACATGGACTCTCACTAACTTCAATAAAAATAATGAATTTTTCTTACTTAGCCTTAGCACCTTTTTGAAACTTCCGTAAACTGTTTTACTGACTTATCGAGCATTTTTTCGCTTACTAAGGGTAAAATCGTAAGAGATCCAGATGCAAGAGAGAGACAAGCTTAAACTATTCAGGTTTCCGAAAGTCGTAGATCAAGTAAATGCTTTATCGAGCTACCCGTTTAAAGGAACAAGTATTTCCTAAGGTTGAGAGTACTATCGATAAGTTCACTTATCAAAATCCTTCTATTGCCAACTTGGAATTTTTTTTCTTACAAAGACCAAAAAACGGACTTCGTAAGTTTTTCCGAAGAATCAGTATGGTACGGAAAATCTAACTTCTCATCGAATGTTCACAATTTAATAATCATCATCATCATCATCAACCCATTTATATGTCTCACTGCTGGGCACGGGTCTCCTTTCAGACGATGGTTTAGGCCATAGTCCGCCACGCTGGCCCAATGCGAGTTGGCGACTTCACACGTTTTCCGAGGATTGTGAACCTTTTTCAACGTGCAGGTTTCATCACGATGTTTTCCTTCACCGAAAAACTCATAATAAATTTCAAATTAAATTTCGCACATAAATTCCGAGAAAATCAGAGGTGCGAGCCCGAATTCTAAAAATTTTATAAAGCAATGATGATTTCCTCAAAGTTCCTGTAAAGTAAAGTTTTTTTTCTTTAAAATAATGTTGTTAGAACAAAATTCTTATTTGATCTCTTTTTGAAACTTTTGCAACTCTTGAAACTTTAGAAAGTTTTCTTACTTTAGCCTTTCCAGTAAACTTCTGTATATATCCCGAATGTGAAAAAAATTTGTGGCACTTGAATGTGATAAAAAAAATTGGTGGCAATCAAAGAAATGCTCCCAACCAAAGAAAAGACATCAACGACATTACATTACGAATATTTTTATCTTATCGTATTTAAATAGATAAAACCTGTGAATGTAAAGAAAGTGTAACTTGGTGTGAAAACTATAACAATAAACAAAATTTATAGTAAAATAAACGAAAACTAAAATCCTTTGATTTGACAGGGACTCATCACACAGGAAACTGCGTCTCTATAGCAATCTAGGACAACTAAATTATATATTTTTGTGAAATTTCACAAAAAAATGTCGTCACTTGGTGTTATAAAAATAAATGAATATCATGGTAGTAAAACTTCATAATACTTAATAAAATCAATATTATGATTTATACACTTTTGTATATCCAAATTCTTTAGACTGTTTATTATTGAAGAAATTTTGTTTCATATTTGTCCTACAACACGTCTTTGTTTCACCATCTGTATCCCTATTTTGACACATTGACAAGTTATTCTTTTCCCGATCCTCATTTTCCCCAACATTACGTTTGACTAGAGTAACGAATTTAATATTTTGTTTTTGTTCAAAACACTATACTTATCTGTTATAATTCTGTATAATCTCTGGTATAATTTTGTGTGTTTTACACAAATAAAAGATCAACGAAGTATAATAACATGTACGCTAGCAAGCACGTTACAAGTGATAATACGATGTAACTAATTTCACGTAGACTCAATGAGTTAGATAACCCATTATATGAAAATCCACACCTTTATTGAGTTTTGCCTTAAATTGTCTTTAAATATTTCTTAGGAGTACAATTTTACCTAAAAATAATAATTTTGTCGAAACAAGTATTCGGCAGTTTAAACTACATGTATAGAAACAGACTATATAAATATGGAATGACCAAACTTTTGCCAAAAGAATACATATGTATACATAATAATTCTAATAATAGTTTTCCGTACAAACGATTCTTCTGCTGTAAGATATTTCTGTAACAAGTTGATGCCAAAACAATCATCACACTAATGAGAAAAAAGTCGAACCGCGTTCAGAATAATAAGGTTCGGAAAAAAATAATTAGTGTTTGCGTTAGATTACCTTGTTAGAGTTACTTTAACTTCTATTCTTGTATGTTTTTTGCGTAGTGACATTTTTTCCTCAAGTACGTCCACCACCATTAGCAGAATCTGACATCTATACTATACTAAATGCATAGCCTAAATAATTATGCTTTATACACAAATGCGAATTTTTACAGGAATGAAAAATTTATATCGCTTACAATTTTTAAAATATACCACTTCTAATAGAAAGGGTAAACGCGGTCAACATTTCAGGCACTTGTCAGGGGGCTCAATTCCATCTACTGATTGTAATGCTAATTCTAGTAATTAATCCTTTTAATTTAAAAGATAGGTATCTTTGTAATTAAGCTGCCTACCAATTGAGTGTTAATGAGGGCTTTGTTCCGATCAAAACTACCAAATCGGACGCTAAGTTTGCAAGCACACTAACGAATCCTCTCCCACCTCTAGCTGTTATATCATCGAAAAATAGAATTACTAATAACTAATATCGTCGTACAGTACGGTAAAAACTATCTTTTTTAATTTTAATTTAATTTATGCCATAGCCCATAATGGTTAGAATATATCACGGAGAAGGAGCTACATGAAATAATTATACAATCCTTTTTCCCTCATTGTGGTACGTAGGCTGGGGTTAGGGCATTAATTAGTAGTAATAATAAACGCTTTCATATTTACATAGCGTAGGGATTTCCCTGAATGCAGATTTATTCGCTAACTAAACTATAACTTAGGCCTTTTCAAGGCGAGAGTGCAAGGTTTATATATATATATATATATATATTGGTTATATATACATATATATATACAACCTTATAAAAAATAATATAAGCAAAACACAAATGAAAAATATAAATAATAGCATTTACACGCGACTTCGTCCGCACAAATGTTTGCACCTAAAAAATTTGATACACTTACATACATATCTTATATAAAAATGCCAATATTAAACTTTTATTTAAATTGAACAATGTTTCTGCCAACTTTCAACTTTGCAAAATTAAATGCAAGGTATACTATTTTCCATAGAAAATCATTTATCAAAATATTTTGACACCCTATACCCAACCCCTATTTCGGAGTTGTTTTGAAAAACCATGAAATACACGTTTATTTATTTTATATTTCAAATATTCAAACTAACTATACTACGTATATATATAACTATACTACTACTATAAATATCTTATATAACTATACTATAACTAACTATGTTACGTATATATATATAACTATATATATACGTAAGTGGTCATGCTCCATTGTCATATTCCATCAGGTGAAATAGAAGCAAATGCGGTTTTTTTTTAAAAACACCAATTATTATCAAACACACACACTTGAACAAAACCAATACGTAAAATACTATTTAAAATGCTTATTCACAAGCAACCAATGACCTTATTATAATATTGCGAGCAACACAACAGGTATGGCGCAAATTATAAGCAACTTGCAATCTGTTCTTGCTTGTCAAATAATCAGTTTAAGTGTCAGATTTTCTTGTCAAATAATACTTGGCAACGATTAAGACACATTAAACAAGTTATTTCATATATTGGAGATTTGGTACAGTCACTTTATGATATATAGAGTTAGATAACATTCACAAAAAAAAATTCAAAAATAGTTTCAGCTTTTTATTTTGCTTAGGTAAATTTTATGAAAAATAAGATGCCACCAATGGACTCTATTTATGTATCTGACCTTATTGTTTTTGGAACAGTCTCAACTGTACCTATACCATACGTGATATCAGTAATATCTAATTTATAGATTTAGTATAATTATTATTACTTCATTATGATGACATCTGACGTGATCTTTATTGTAATATATTAAAGTAGTTATTGCCCGCGATCTTACCCGTATTTTGGGTTGTTTTGAAAAACCTTGAAATACACGTTTATTTATTT